GTAAGGTTGTCTTGAAACCATACAATTTTCAGTTATTGGCTGAAATGAAATGAAATAAGGGCAGTGACTCTTTCCAAATGGTTGGTCGTAACCCTCGTAAAAAGAATAAATACAAACAGAATAGTATCTTGCAAGTGGTTAAGAAACAGTGTCATGCCAATTTTCTTTTGACTGCTGTGACTATAGCCTTGGCTTTTTCTATGTAACCTATTTGTCTGTAACTACTTATGAATGTTGCATTGGCATTATAGATCAGAAATCTAATAATCTATTTCATGATTAAATGGAGATTAATTTTTTAAAATGTTGTATGTGTTACTTTAGGATAACATTGTTCTTTAAGTAGAAGAAAACATCATGGGAAAAATTCCTTAGGTAAAACACCTTAAAGCACTTCTTTCCAAAAGTTAATATTGGAACAGGGTGGGGAAATTAACTTCATTCCAAGTGCCCACAGACCTATTAAATGAGTCCTGCTTTTTTTTTTTTTTAAATTATTATTGTTATTTAGGATTTCAGGTAATTCTTTCTTAGTTCCTGCTTCTACAGTGACCTAGTCAATGCCCTTCTTTTTTAATTCATAGTATATAAGTAGCTTATCCATAACTTTTAAACTTACTAATTTAGGATCATTGGCATCATTCAGACTATATTCCATTAGATATCCTTTTCAAGGGCCGATGGCATAGAAACACATTTTTCTCTACTGCAAAATTAAATAGGAAATCTTTTAACCAAGAAAATAGAATTATGGATAATCTACTAATAAATCTTGAAACATTAAAATTTTAATGACCTCTCATTGCAACAGTATGAGATTGAAAATATTAGACTACAATTCTACGTAATGCACACATTGTTTAAATTACTTGTTTAAAATAGTTTGGAGTTGTAAATAGAAACTGTCCAGTATTTTGGGAAAAAAAACCAAAACAAAACACCCAAACAAAAAAGGAACGTTCAAAGTTTTGCAAATAAATCTTTCCCTGTTATGAAAATACGGGTGGGAATTCAGGGACTCTTAGGTTTGTTTTTTTGTTGTTGTTCCTCTATGTTTTCCAGCAGATCTTTCCCCTTTCCAATTTTCCAAGCCATTTAATTTCCATGAAAATGTTACTACAAAAGTGCTGACATTTCCAATTCAAAGTTTCTCCAAGTTTTTCATTACATCAAGTTCTTTATGTTCTGATTTTCTGTTCTTGGCTAGAAGAAAAAGCTAATCCTGGAACGTCAAGATCTCTCACAGGATGAGCTTTCCCTTTTCTCAGCCAGAACGCCCCACGGGCTGCCCCTGCCCACCCACGCCACGCACACACGTGCATACTGGCCATGGAAGAACCCACAACAGTTTCCACCGCATCCTTCCTGCGGCCAAGACACATGCATTTCTGGTGGAGGGCTCCAAACCACTAGATGCATGAATTAAAAATAAAATCCCACCACTGACAGACCTTATCAGGGCATCGCATTAAGAACTACTGCAGCCTCTGCAGAACCCAGCAGACGCTGTGGCTGCTCCTCCACCCCAAAGGGTAGGCAGTTGCTTTCCTTTTAAGCATGAATTTAGAGTCTATCTGAATCTAGGAACCAAGACATAGCACACCAATAAATAAAGAGCAATAAATTAACATCATTAACAATACAGTGGGATAGAGCATTTTGTGCGGCAGAAAGGAAAAATACCCAATGGCAGAAGTGAGGTCCAGCAGGCCAGAGGGAATGCAAGACTAATTACTCCAAACTACATTCAGCCCTTTTGGTTTTTGAAATGCATACAACTATTTCTTTTTCCTGTAACTTTGACAAGAAATTAAAAGTCCAAATACTTGAAAACATGTTTCTTGGTATTCTAAACAAACTCAAATAACTTTATTAATCTGCTAGTCCTGGAAACAGTTATTCTGAGAGGCCTGCCCAGCTGAATTGCCATGTTCAGTGTGTCCCTTTCTCCAGCCTTACAGGACACCAAAATGAGGGGGTCACCTATCAGGCACAGACATCTGTGCACAGCTGGTCACCCGAGGCTCCCTTTGGAGTCCACAGAAAGAAGAAAAGAACTTCCACAGTGCTACTCCTCTCTTCCCAATGTAGACACCAAAACCACGTTATGTGAACTGCACCTCCAGAAGTTTATATATATGTTATTAAATAACTAACGTAACTAGCATTTTTGCTTAAAATACTACTCTCATTTTACAGTTTTCCTTTTCTACATTTAGCTATCAGTCCAAATAAAGAGCTTTCTGCTTTACCTCTGAAGTATTTTATTGATGATAGTTTTCTTAAATACTTTCAATGTACTATTAAAAAAATGGAATAACAACTGTCTAACGATTATAGATAAACAAGTTTAAGGTATTCAAAACTTCTCAGTAAGTAATATTTCACATCTTACAAGACCTGTGGTTCAATACTGTTACCAGGAACAGCAAGCAGCAATTCTTACAGTCCCATGCTAGCCTGAGGCAACTTTAAAAGAAAAGCCTACAAAAACTTCACTTTTTTGAGCTGCTGAAGAAACTTTTTTTCTGAGAAAAGATGAAAGAATGGTGGTTAGCCATTTTTTTTGTTGTTCATTCGTTTCTTAAACATATAAGAATTCGGTTTTACTGCAAGTTTCATGCCAAGTATCTGTACATATGTTGTAGGGCTTGTTTTCAGCCACTGCTGCTGTTAACACACAACTATCTCAAATCAAGAAAAGAAGTATTTACAGCCTTTACAGTTGTGAAGGAAGAACAGAATGTCTAACAGTAGGGCCAATAAAAATAGTAATTCATCCTCACCCCCTCCTCCAAACTTAAGTATATAGACATACACCTTAAGTACATTTTTTCCTGCCTCAAGCAACAGAGAGGGGCTGGTTCAGAAGCGTTAGACTAGTAATATTGCAAACTGCTAATTCCAGCTTCCTCGCTTACTTATGGTGGTTTCTTCCAGATATGCTTTCTAGTAAACATGAGAGAAATATCAAAAGATAAAGAACAACTCTGAAGTCTCTGCCCCATCACAGAACTTCTGCCAGCACCAATTCTGGGATCGATCTGGGAAGCAATAAGCCATTTCCCAAAGAATGGAGTTACAAGTAGCTTCACTCAGTCTACGGTCCTGCTGCAATGAAAGCCCTTTGAAAACCTAGCTTAAGAACCTCTGCTTAAAAATGGGTTTTAAAAGTTAAAGGATGTAGAAAGGTCTTTGGGCCCGCCTGGAATGTCATTCCAGCTCCCCTTCACAAAGGGAGCCAGATGAATCTGTAGCATTACCCAGGACCCTGGCCGGCGACCCCTCCTGGGGTATTCAGAGAGGAATCCTGACTGAAAACAAGGGTGGATGGTAGCTCTCTGATCCTTCTGCTCCCTCTCTCCTTTCTCAGATGTGTTTGTTTTCTTTAGTCCCTTCCCTCCTACCATGCCTGGGCTCAGGGGAGAACTAGAATAGCCACCCCTTAATCCTCACATTTTTTTTTTTTTATTCTCAAAATTATTTTGCTTTCTGCAGTAACTGTACACGAGATATGTATTTATATACATTTAAAGCTAACAATCCCCACTGAGTCTCACAAGCTTTTACAAGGCGCTATAAAAGTATCACACGGCAAAGCAATGCTGTGAAGTCAAAAGGTGAACGCCGTCCTCTGAGACCACAGATGTGTATTCTGGGTCACAAGAGTGAAAAAATGTAGTTCAAATTTAAGTCACCTCCTTCCATTGCTTTCTATTATGTCCCCACTGAGATCCCAATGAGTGTTTTTAATTTTTTTTTTTTAATTAGGCCTAGATTCCAACATACCTAAACCAGTAATATTACTACATGTTGTAGCTAGATATCTAAAACACAAGTGATTGTAATGCATTGCAAGAGCATGGTATACATTAGTCCTCATACAATTTTCTAAACACTTGCCTTCTTTGTTTTTAAAACCAAAAATAAGTCACATTTACTTAAATTTATCCTTCAGGGGAAATCAATCCAGAAAGAAACTGTACCCAACAAGCAACGAGGGACTTCATGTATAGGTCTGCATGACCTCACAGTGGCTTTGAGGATTGGCTGTGACTGGATTAATCTTTAATTAATATAATGAAATAAGAATGTTATTCACCAAACGTGTCAAAGTGAAGCTTACAGCTCTGAGTAGAGTCAGTATATAAGAAATTGATATTGATTTCCTCTGAACTAGGTTATTTTATTGTGATCAATTATGTGTGGGGGAAAAAAAAAAGAATTATTTCTGTATTTTTCAATTTTACAATACTTACAAAGCCATTCCCATCTTCATCGAGGAATGGGTATGCCTGCAGTAGAGCATTGACAACAATGTTATATTGCTGACTGTTTGGATACCTGTACAAACGAAATGGAGTTGTAAAAGAAATAGTTGGTATTCTACTTAGAATACTACTCCAGACATTAGACACTGTCTGGAGTCTATACTGATATACATTAAACTGACTATTTCTAAGACTATCGATTCACCTCCAAATAGCAAAAGGAACAGCTTTAAGGTTTGCACGAAATCTTCCTGCTTGACTTCAACAGATTTCAGGCCCTCAGCCTCCTCTATTTAAGCAAGCATATTAAAGAGAATGGCTTTACATCCATTTGAAAATGTACTTCTGTAGCCAATGGGTAATGCCCCCAAATAAATCTAACAATGTTTACTCACAGTGATCCTTCTAGGTATTTTGTCATGTCTGCTTGCAAAAATTCAATAATCCTTATTCTCATACTGTGATCAGGGCATTTTTTTTCTGCTAATATGCACTTGACATCGTAAGGGAAGTCTGGCAAAGCATAAGAACTTGTCCACTGCAACGTCTTGTATCTTGCAAAAAATGATTTCAGATTTTTTCTGTAAAAGAAAAAATTATATCATCTTGATCATGTCCTTCTATGGGAATGCAGGCAAGAAGGAAAGAAAAATACAAGCAAAAACTCAACACAAAGCAGTTATTACTATAGAAATTCGAGGCTTGCTCTCTTGGTTTCTACGTAAAGAATACCTGCAAAAGCTGCAGTCAAAACATATGGGGTTAAAACCAGATGTCAAATGTGAAATGTTTTAATCAGCAGACACTAGAAGGTGGTCACTAACTGAAAGCAGAAGGCAGAGCGGAGGAAGTCACTGGGGACTTGCTACTGTTGCAAAATAACTTTATCTGTCATCATTTATAATGTGTTTCCTACCAGTTCTGCTAACTTACTAGTGAGAGCGAGCAAACAGATTGATTGAATAAAATACTATACACGACATTAGCTAAGATTGTCCTCCCACAGGGGAAAGCATCGAAGGGATGAAGGCAGTTATCAACACACAGATTGAAGGCAGTTATCAGCACAATGACTGGAAACAAAGCAGACACAGCCTGCAAGTACCCACAGCTCCCCTCCCAAGAAGACCATCAGCACTATTTACCAATGTCACACCCCAGCTGGGGTAAGCCTGAGGCAGGATATCCCCACTGGCTACCCAAGTGCTTCCCACCTCCAGAGAGCCTGCCAAACCCTAGTTCTGAAGGAACACATGGAAAAGTAGAGATAAATTGAGCAGGAAGTCAATCAAAAGCCACCTAAAAGGTGGAGTGCTTCTGGCAGCCCTAGACAGCTTCCCAGTCATAGTAGTCCAGACCCAATACAGAAATTTCAAATGAGAGGTGCCAAAGACAACTAAAGAGTCCTGTTATATATGTGGTATCACTGCATTTTATGTTTGCTTTAATTTAAAATGCAGAGAGCAACTTGGAAATGACTACCAGACTTTTAACAGAATTTTTTAAATAAAGTGCAGTCATTATAGATGATGAATGTAGATGCTTACCTGGTATAAATATACAGATATCTGTATCTGAATTAATCATCTGCACTCCCTTTATATTCACTGAGGAGAGATAAATACCACTGAAGGATGACAGAACAATGAGAAGACATCTAAATCAGACCAGATATTCTCTCTCATCTATTTCTCTCCACTAATTGTGAAGGAAATTAAGATAGTTACCATAGTTGTTGAAGTCTCCACTGTATATTTCTCAAGTTAGGAACCCTCCACTTGGTAGGTAAAAGCTCCCACACAAAGATGCTTCCAAGCTGCACTAAATTTTGAATCTATGAAAGTTATGGAGGGAAATACTGCTAGACTTCAGTCAACATGCATGAGTTTTCACTCCTAAAGGTCTCTATGGTAGCCTATAAACAAGAGCTAGGCATATAAATAAGAGTTGTGAAGAGCTTTAGCAAGGTCTTCATTGGGAGGTTTTGCTATCCAGCCTCTTTCAGATAAGTATGTGAAAAAAACCCAAACAAACGTGGTAGCTAATATCTTTAGTCTGGCAAAATCAACTGCAATACCAATGGATGAGCATTTGCAGTAGCTTAGTTTACACCAGTTTGAAAGATTACTATGTATCGGGGAGGCAGATTATTTTGGGCCTGTATAGCCATAGTTATAGCCTCAATACCTTCTTGAGTAGGTTAGCCTATAACTATCCTCAACCTTGTTGACCTGGTTATGCTGCCACACCATCTTGGCATCTTTTAATGTTGGTAGCTTACAGGCTGGTAAAAGCTCTACAGCCATGATATAACTTTACCAACCCCAGCACTACTGCAAACTGCGATGCAGTGCTGAAAAAAAAAAAAAAAAAAATTGGGGTACTGTCATCTGATCCTCATAGTTATATTAACAGTAGTAGCAGCACTACTGTTTCCCCATGCAAAACAGGTACAAAATGGCCAAGGCTGCTGTGTCTCCAACCTCACCAGATTTTATGGGACACAGATGGTTAAAAGTAGATGCAAACTGTAGTGAACTTCTATTAGTACTTTACAGTCTCAAAAGAAGGAAAAGCTGCACAAGAAGTGACACACATATCCACACAGACACATTCATGTCCTTTTTTGGTGATAAATTAATACACAAATGGGAAAAAACCAAACCCAGATTCTGAAATCACTTGGAAATGCCTCCCATGCAAATAAAGTGCAGATGTTCAGTGTAGCATCAATGAGGAGCTCTGCAGCCCTGTGAGTTTTAATCCTGTACTTCCACCAACTTTACTGCTGAAAGTGATGTAGCAGACAGGCTGCAAGTTACTACATTCTATTTTCAACATGCTATCTTTAAACTAGCTCAAAAATGCACAGAAGTTTAAAAACGTGCAGTGATTTCTAGCTGAGCCGCACTGAAATTCCTGTTGCTGCTAATACCAGTGAAACTGAATTGCTATTTCAAAAAGTGGAACAGCTTAGCAGATTCAGTTCAGGCAAACTCCTGTCTCCACAGTGCAAGAGATTAAATATTTTACTAGCTTTTGCTGAAATCATTGCTGTTGGGCAGTCATGTTAAATATGTGCAGTAATATTTTACAATGAAATACAAGTTTGAAAAGAAACACAATGCCACAGTAAACTTTATCCCCAGAAATGCTCACATACAAACCTGTTTAACTAAAAAAAGTGTTCAGTTAAACTGTACATGCACTGTGATTTATGTATATAGCCAAGACCCTCCTTGATTGTGGAGAACAGCATTACAGCTAAAGATTTAGGTGCAAACATACATAGCCTGTTTCTAACCATCCCTCTCTGGTCTTCTAGCTGACCTGAGACAGAGATAAGATCAAGATCCCAAAACACAAATTACCGCATCTTTTATTTTCTCTTAGTTCTTGAGGCATTCAACACTACACCTAAATCAACCTGATGGCTACCTGCTGCCAAATGTCAGTCCCTCTCCCCTGGCTGTCACAATGTCTCTACCCCTTTCTTACTGGTACCAGGAAGCCCCTTGTTATGCAGCAAGTTACTTCAAGGAGCTGTGATGTGATTTTTCATTTTTCTTCTTGGTTTACTTATCTCACTGTTTAGGTCCCCCAAATAGCTACCCATGAGGTGAGACAAAGAGCAGTGCAGAGGAAGCAAGCTGCATGTTTAGCTGCAATATGGAGCTGCATCCTAAGAAGCATCTCCTCAGCAAGTGCACAACTAACCGTGGAGCTTTTGACAACTCAGCTTTTGCAGATGACCACTTTACTTACTGTACTAAGTCACAGCACTCTTTCACACAGCTATTTCTTTCTTTGGCTCCATTACAGCCTTACACTGCTCACACACAGCGTGTTTACTGAGATGCAAAGCTATAAAATAACATAATTTTGGGAGGAGCTGTTTGTCTCCTTCAGCTGGCAAAAAAAACCCCAAAACCCAAAACAAGACAAAAAAACCCAACCCCCCAAACCCCCACCTATTTGAATTATAAAACCCTGGGATCCCTAATCCCAGGGGATAACTTGTTTTACTGCTAAAAAGACAAAGATTTTAGACACATGCAGCATCACCCAGATCTTTCATGAAGGTTTTAGATCATGGTCTCCAAACATAGTGTCCTCTGCAACTTCTTGCAGAGACACAAAACTGCCTGAATTAGCTGTAACAAGTCAGTAAAAATATTCCTGGCATCAATATAGACAGCTCAATCAAGATAGCTATGCAAAGTGCAGTAGAGACCTAGAAACAGGGTCAAACAGTGGATCGTATGATTTTGTCATACAAGAAACAGAAGAGAAAAGAAAACCTGGAGCTTGCAGATGTGAAAGAAAGGAAAAGTCTACAGCTGTAGAAAATGTTCCATTTCACTAACACATGTATTATATGCTTTCAACTTTATGACAATATTTAAGGTCGTAAAGGTTATTTCCATCAAAAGGAAGAAATTATGACAGATGATGAAATATCAAAAGAAACTCTTTTTCCCCTCTCAAAAGTAGGATAAAATAGGGTGCTCTTTTCTATTCACAGTTCTGAGATCTGTGCCTGAAAGACTCTCATGCGTTTCCTTTCATGCGCTTCACTGCTGTTTCCTACTTTCGAGCACAAACACACGGTTTCCCAGTTATTCCCTAAAACCTGGGATTTGCAGTCTACCTAGTGCTTGATGACATCTTTTACTTTTTTAGTTCCCACTAAACATAGGGGCAGTATCCTTTAGACTGAACAAAAAGTCACCCGGAGCAGCAGCGTTAGCCTCAGCAAGGCTAGGACAGATGCACCGTAGCTGCCCATTTCCCAGAGCAGCTCCAGTTTCAGGTTTTCCTGCAGTAGCTTTGCTATAGAAATCATCACATTCAGGACAAGCATGAAGTTACAGACAAAATTAATCAGCTTTAAAGCAAGTTTGTGAGATGCAAACACAACCTCCTTCTAGAGGGAGTCAGGATTTTTCGACAGTTTCCATTCTGAGGAGCTGCATCATGTAAGTGAAGGCTCTGCACTTCCATCTCATGTGAGGGCAGCAGCTGTAGGTTACAGACAGGGAGAGAAAATGCTCCTTGGGGAATCTGACTGACAGAACTGCCAGCAAAATCAGGCCATTTTAATGAAACAGTGTTTATTTGCATTCACCCATGAAAGACGTGTTATACTGTATCCAAAGAATTTTATGTATTTGGGGTTTTATTGTTGTTTTTATGACTTTGTTAGACCTTAACAAGGCAACGCAGTTAGTATCTCCTGCAAGTAATTTGTAAGACTTGGCTTATTTCTGGTGTGGAAGAGAGGAGATATAATAATTTTTTTTTTCCTGCAAACGTCTGCAGAAGACTCACAGCACCTTATCAGTAAATTCAGCTCTGCTGACCTCAACCACTCTAAAACCATGAGTCCAGTTGCTTTGGCTGGTTGATGCAAACAAAGCACAGAGAAGATATTATTGTCTTCTAGGGTAGGGGTTTGGGTTTGGTTTTGTTTTTTTTTTCCCCATTTAAGTTAGTATTCTTAAGCTTCCTGCTGCAGTGACAGAGACATGAAATGCTGACTTAAAGTGGCAGAAATTCTCACAACCCCATAAACTGAAGA